GGAGGAGGGGGAGGTGGAGCAGCAGGAGCAGGGGAGGAGCAGAGGAACAGAAAAGCCTTCTTATTCATTCACTCCTCCATCCCATCATCAGACCTGAGCATGTGCTTCATCAACCTGAAGGTCAGGGGATGAAGCCGTGGGTCAGGGGCCACTCAGGGGCCGTTTGTGGGACCACAATAAAACCTGACGCTGCCTTTTATTCTTATGACTCATGAAGTTTGAGTAAAAAAAAAAAGTCTCAGATTAAAGTGAAGTTCACGTCTGATGAAATGATGGAGTGAAGTTTTAGCTGAACATTAAGTCAGACTTTAAGTTTAAGAGACTTCAGAAACAGGAGATCAGGTTAAAGTTGAATAGGGGAGTGGGGGCATATTATTGAATTAAGTCTTTATGAATAAAACAAAGGCCAAACTCGTTTGATGTGAGTTTTTCAGATCCAGGGTTGAAGCTGAAAGGAAAAGCTGCAGCAGGTCATGTGTTGACTTTTTTTTTTCTTTTCTTTCCTCAGAGAAAATGTTTCATCTGCGCTCCGTCCTGCTGAGAATCAGCTGAGAAGCTTCTGGACTCAGTGTAGACCAGCTTGGTCATGTGACCTTCCTGTGGCCCAGCAAACGGAGACAATAAACCAACCACAAAACAGGAACAATAGGGTTAGGACACACCCACTTAAAGTCTGGTTTGGTCTCCCACTCATCAATCTATAGACACATGGACATCAAGTTAAAATCTCTGATTTTCTCCATGGACTTTGGTCTGAACTAAAATCTCTGATTTTCTCCATGGACTTTGGTCTGAACTAAAATCTCTGATTTTCTCCATGGACTTTGGTCTGAACTAAAATCTCTGATTTTCTCCATGGACTTTGGTCTGAACTAAAATCTCTGATTTTCTCCATGGACTTTGGTCTGAACTAAAATCTCTGATTTTCTCCATGGACTTTGGTCTGAACTAAAATCTCTGATTTTCTCCATGGACTTTGGTCTGAACTAAAATCTCTGATTTTGATTTTCTCCATGAGG